ACTTTTCTTTGACAAACATGACTCATTTTTCAATATCATCCAAAACATGCTGGTTGCTGAGTGAAGCTGTGATATCTGGCATAGTGGATTAACAAACAAAAGGCAGAGAATTGGGTTTAATGTGCCCAAATTACTGGGTGATAACTTAAACCATACTGGCTGTTTCCATCATATCAATGAAAATGGGTGCATTTGATTGTATTTTAAAAGTAAAGAAGAAATGAGCAGTGTTTTGTAAGCAATTACTAGCTTTTTTATTATGGAGGAATTACAACATGTTAAATTAACATGGCTTAATAGATTTCAACTTCTTTTCCTCCACCCCTTTAAAAGGCACCATGTTCTAGTTTTGTAGAATTTCATCAGGATACTTTTTGCACTGAAAGCAAAATAAAATGACAAAAATAACAGGGAAGATACAGAACAACATTTCATCTCTGCTTACAGATTTTACTCTTATGTTTTTCCTTTCTGTATTAGTTATTGATTTTTTAGAGATAACTGCTATGTTAAAGTAGGAGTGGTTGCTAAAGATTCAGAAGCTTATCCTTTTTAAACTGGTGGTGAGTAAATTAAATCTAAGAGTGAAAAATCTGATTTGTTGACCCAATAAAGTAGAACCAAGAGGCAAACTGTCCCAAGTGCCACTTTAGTTCAGACTGAAGGCTAATTTGTTTGACAGAACACTAGGCTTCATGTCTCCAGCTATACAGTGTTTTTAACCTTAAGTCTGGCTCCTCAAGAGGTCTGTATTGAAGGAAGGAAAAATCTAGCTTTAGAAGATCAAAAATGTACCAGTGTGGGGGTTTGGAGTGTTTAGATGTTGCTTTTACTTGCATGTGTGTAAGCATGTCATAGTGTTCACCCAGGACACACACAGTTCAGCAGGGTAGTGGCCTATGGATGTTAAAACAGAGTTTCTTTTGCTGTGTATCTAAGAAAAAAATATTACTGTAATCCTGTTAAAAAACCTAGTTTAAATTTTTTACGTACCTAATTTTGAGTGTATTTCCTGGGTGAATAGAAAGGCTTGGTTATAACAGCTTCAATTCAGTCCCATGTAACTGATATATTTTGTCAGTGGGAATGAGAGGGAATAGGGTGTTGGTCTCTTAAAATCTAATCTTGGTACCTTCCTTTCTTACATAATGAGAGAAGATACTCTGATGGCTGCTGCCTGATAGGTCAGTAGAGCATTAGATTAGTTCTGCTGCTGTACCAGGAGGAAGTCAAAGAGTTTAGTTTCCTAGATACTATGTTTAATGTAGAAGGCTGGATTGGCACACTTTATATATATATGTAAGATATATGTTTGTATACCTTTGGGCTTTTTTGAGAGGTGGGTTGTGTGTTTGTTTTTAAGACCCATGCCATTTGGGATTTACAAGGAAAGGCTTTAAATATGTTAATAGATCTATAAGGAGAATTGAGTAAGATTTACTGAAAATATTAACAATGCTGCTTATTAAAGTGATATGCTGAACAATGAAACAAGGAGATGCTTCCCACAAGTGATAAGCAGTTTGCATAATCTCGTTGCTTAAGTTGTCCAGGATATGTTTTTGCCAGCTCAGGAAGCAGAAGAAAGAAAGTTTCAACAGTTTGTAAACATTACCACCCTCAAGAATCTCTGTGAACACAAGGATGAGATAAGACAGGCTGTAGGGCTGGTTGCCTTGTTTATTTATTCTACTGTCCTGCAGTCCCATGTGTGCTGAAAAACACTGAGTCAGTGTTGAGTCCAGTTCAGAAATGTGAAGGCTTCACTCAGCATTGGGCAAAGGGGGCCTCTGCAGACAATTATCTGTCATTGAAAGAATTGAGACACAAGATCAGATTTTCTTTGATGGGATGTGCAACTGTAGTGATGTTCAGAAGGTCATTCCTGCTCTCTAGAGAAGGGGTGGTATCAGCCGGGTTTCAGATGGATTTTTATCAGTGTTGATGTGAGGAAATGGCTTTCCCAGCTGATAACATCTTTGACCGAGTTTCTTGAACCCTTGACCTTTATCAGTCAAGGTATAAAATCCCCTTGTTAAAAATAAATCCCCAAACAAGTTACATGGAAAAGAAAGGAACATGTTCCTTTCAAAGGAACATGTTTTATAATATTATTTTACCCAGAATGCTGCTTTATTTGTTACAATTTGAGATTTTTATTGAGATTATAAGAATAGCAAATTATTAAGAAATGCCTCTATAAAAGCTACACATCAAGCCCTGCACTCACATTCCAGGTAACCTCACTGCCCTCAACACTCCTAGAAAACAAGTAAATCAGTTGAATAGCTATGTATTGTTGTTGTATGTTGCTTAATCATACTATTTCACCCTCCAGGTAGCTGCAACTGTTCTCACAGGGCTTAATAAAGAAGCTTTTATGATGTCAGTGTCAAACTATGCATTTGACTTGAACTATGCACATCACCACATAAATGAAGGGTGTTAACAGAAGGCTGGAGCAATATAGTTTCTCTCAGTAAAAATTAAATTAAGTTCAGTTTCCAGAGTTATGATGTTCCTGTAGATGGAGGGGACTTCAGGTAATGGAACTCAGAACCAAATTTACAATTTGACCAGGTCCACAGAATTCATACAATAGCATTATGGGATTGTGACTACCTGGAGAAGTGGTCACCCATCCCTGACTGATAACAATCTAATAACATCCTTTCTTTGTTAGATTTTAACTAAAAATTCTTTAGGAACTATCAGTTCTCCATGCTCTGCACTTTGTGAATCACTTGTGTTGGGGATTTTGATGTTTGTTGCCTGCAAATAACTATTCTTTCAGCTTTGTGAGGCAGAGCATCTTTAAACTTGAGACTTTACTGCAGTCTCGGAGAGAAGTAGACACGTCACTGTCACCAGTGGATTTCCCTGTCCTGTTGTGATTAATGTGGCCATCCAAGGATTCTGAAAGGGAAGTTTGGTAGGCTGTGGTCTGATCATCCTATAATAGAGAGAAACTGTAGCTGTAGTGCTGTGTCAAGGCTTGTACATGATAAATATAAAAGTTAAAGCCTTAGTAGGTATATTTATTGTGAATGACAAGGAGTGTTAATTTACACTCATTAAAGAATGTACATCATCTCATGTGTGTTTTCACATGCTGAAGTCCTCTATCAAATCCTGCTTTAAACTGTGCAGCTGCTGGAAGTGAGGCTGTAAGGTCAGGATTGTTGAAGTTGGCGGATATTAGAGCTTGTGGAAAAGATGTTGTAGGTCAGTGCAAGGGAAACCCATGTCAGGGAATCCTTATCTGAAAATGCTCTCTGGCTTTTTGTTTGCTTTGTAATGTCAAAGCAGGGTCAAGAATGTGATCTGTATAGACAGAGTTTTGAACATTTTGAGTTTTTACAAGAAAATGTTCTTTTTGATGTGCAAGTCCCATATGATGGGCTAATGCCTTCTGGTAGGCCAACTGATAGAACTGGGAAGTGGGGAGAAAGATGCTTTTTGCTCTTTGTCATCAGATGTTGGTACAATAAAATTATTTTCTGTCTCTGTGAACCCTGTCATGCTTGTCTCATGGAACAACCATGGAGGTAGTAATGCTACTGCTACTCTACGTACCTTAAGAAGTGTATAATCTGCATGTTATTGTCTCTTATGGAAAAAAAACCCCACTTTCAGACCCAGGGTACATCTTCCTGTTTTCACAAACTAAAGATAATAACAGTCATTTTTCTCACAGGATCCCTAGAGGAATTTTAGTTGGTCAGGGCAGAATGTAAAGTGTATGTGATTTGGAGGAGGAGGCAATATGCCATGTATTTTTGTCACATTGTTCCTATAAGAGAGATTATACTGGGAATAGGAATTGCAACTCTTAGTTATGTTTAAGTTGTGTTTTCAAAGTCACATATGCAACTCCTCAGGTTAGAAACTTCTTTTTTTTTGCCTCCTTTACTGTGAAAAAAATAGGTTTGTGCAAGCATTCTGTCTATTCTGTCATCCTTCCCAAAAGCATTTAGATACTTTGATATGTTTGCAGAACATGTAACTGAAGGTTAGAATAGCAAAAATAGTTAAGTGTATATCAGTGGCTGGTTAAGGTGAAAAAGACAATATTAATATCTTCACTGAAGGAAGAGACACTTGCATTGACTCTGCCATGGTTACTCTGCTGCACATCAAGTCAGCACATGTGCACTGGTGGACATCTGGCTGGTCAGTAGTGTGAGCATCAACACGTGCCATGTCCTTCCCAAGTTGGCAGAGATTGGGAAGTGTAGGAGAAAGAAAGGGAGAAAATAGTGGGTGAGTTAGTGAAGGCAAAGATGGAGTGATGGATTTAGAGTTAGCTTGCTGGCTGGATGAAGGATGATAGGAAGATCTGCAGTTTTGTTACGCCAGTGTTAACTGCCAACACAATATTTGGGAAGGCCAGTAACTTTCAGTCTGCAGATGACTGTGTGTCATCATACTGTGCAGATGACTTAAATCAATTGCATTTACAGATATGTATATTTTTAGCAGTTTTTAATTCATTCTATGCGTGAAAATATTTTTCTACTTGTTTAACTGAAATATTTAATGATAAAGAGAACATGGAGACATCATCAGAAATTCCTTTCAGAAGATACAGTAAAAACAGATATTTTCATCAGCTTTACCAAAGAGCAAATGGGGAGAGGGAAATCCCCCAACAAATGCATTGAAGAAAATACTTCTAATATTATTTGATACCAGATAATATTTAGAAGAGAAAGGAACTACGCCTCAAGAAAATGATGCCTAGTATGCACAATTTCTTGTTGTGATACTTAAGGCAATGAGATTTTAAGGTTTACCTTATATGCCATGTATATTGATTAAATACCAAATATATGGTGGCCATTTCTAACCATCATTTACTGTATTGATTTGTCAGCAGTGGAACTGTAATAAAAAAAGCTATTGATTTACTGTCCTTATTTGCTTATGGGCTTTTTATTAATTTTACACATTGTTTCCTATTTCTAGATTATAATTTTTATGTGTTTCCTCTCTTTAAGACAAGTCTGGTCCTCTCTGAAGTTAGAAAAGAACAACAAATTGAGGAACAAAGGAATGAAACCATCAGCTGCTTCCTGCTAGTCCTTAAGGAGCGACAGAGGCTGCGTAAAGAATGGACAGTAAGGTGGGAAACACTCCTATAAATCCCCTTGCAAGTTGACATTTTCAAACAATTTTCAAAATTTTCACTGTTCAAATAGTAATTCCTTGAATGGAATAGTCAGTGTTTCTGCTTCTGATTTCAGAGTTACTTTGTGGGGTAGACTGCTCCCTTACTGTGCTCACATAATGGAGGCCATTGATAATAGCTTGAGGCAACATATATATATTTGAGGATTGGTGCCACCTCAAGTGCCCTGAGGTTTTCCATATATTGCTGACAATATGAGCAATGCTCTTTGCTGGCATGCTATGCTAATGGACACACTGCTTGGCTGCTTTCTTCGTGTCCTGCCATTTTCCTGTGGTGGGATCCAACTGGTGTTAACTGGGTTGTGTTGGGTGAGATTGGCATGAGTGTCTGTATTGCTGGAGTTCATATTATGACTGGTTTATTATATGTAGTTCTTAACAGAACTCATTGCCATGGTAATAGATCAGGTCAACAATTTTAAAAAGGCGGTTTTGTTTCTATTTGGAAAGGTTTCTTACTGGAATGTAACCTTAATGCATTTCAGAAGCTATAGCTAGACCATACTTTTGGTTTGTTCAGAAACAGGTGAACAGAAACAGAATTTCCACCATATGCCACCTTATGTCCTTCTCTTTAACTGTTAAATGAGTTGATGTCACCCTTTTCCACGTTTAGTTCTAAAAGCTTTAGATTTATACTCATTTCATAATCTCTTATTATTTTCTTGTTTATGATTTACATTAAGTATCTATCAGTCTATGAAATTTTTCTACCAAATGTACAGCTTTTCTTTTAAACCAGGTGTTCTTATTTATAATTAAATACAGTTTTTAGTAAAAAGTAATTTTTAATGCAGAATTTGTAAATGAGATTTTTTTTTTGAGATTTAGCCCTTAATTGACATTATTTTTTTTACCTGCACTAAATATTCCATTTAAGGGAGCTCTTTTGTGGTTTGTTGTAGTTCTTGAAAACTCTGAGATAACTTTTTAAAAGCAATATGTCGATTTTGGGTCTGACACTTGAGTGTCTTTGCTGTTCCAAACAGTTACAGTGAGTGGACTTGAAATATTTCATAAGCTTTAGATAAAATATAAACATTATAACATGTGATCATTTTGCAAATTAGAGGCTGCATTTTATAAGTTTGTGTTCTTATGAGTATGGAATGTTTATTTGTGTATTACTCAGTTAAGATCTCCGAGTAAAATATTGTGCATATTATCATGTGGGTTTTATCTTTTTTTTGAGGAATTTAAGGAGTTTTTAGTTGTTCGAGGGGTTGTTTTTTTGGGGGGGTGGTTGCCTTCTGTCACTGCTTGCTAAATAAAGCAAACATTTTGGCCACATTGGAGACAGGGGAAAATCACTGAAGGCTTTTCTGGGACATTCTGTGCATCTTTGTTGTGAACCAGAACAGGAGGATTCTAATGAGTGGAATATCATTTTAGTGTTCCTTTAGTTTAACAATAATTCCCTAATATATGAAGTCATCACAAATCATAGCAACTGGGGGTAATTTAAAGATCAGGTGGGTTTCTGTGTTTCTGGCCTCTGCTTGCTGCTTGGAGTGCTCCAAGGCTGGAGCCAGGGCTGCAGTTGGAGCTGTAGCCTTGTTCCTGAGAGAGCAGCTCTGCAATTTTGGGGGATGGGGAGAGGCACAAGCAGATGAAGTGCAGGCCTTCTTAAAACTAAACACCTGAAAGAAAATTTCAAGAGCATTGTGCCTTGAAAGTTCTGAAAGAAAGTGTCCTTTGAGTATTAAATATCCATAATCCTTTTTCTTTCTATTTGATGTTTCCCATTCCAGTGACCTATCTGAGAGTCTCATCCATATGAGCTGCATAAACAGGCTGTTACCATACACCTCACTTTACTTCATCAAAGCTCCTGCTCCATGTCTGGAATGAAACACTGGCTGTGGTAGCCATCGAGCACACGGTGGTGAAAGTTATAAAACGTCCGCTGTGGTACAAGCAGGGCTGCTCATGTTTTAGAGATCAGTCTATTGTGTACTTTGGAATTACATGAGAAAAATGTGCTTGGACAGGAAATAATTAGCACTTGTCAAAGGGCAGGCAATAGGTTACAGTATTTTACTTTCAACAGGCTATCAGGGGATCAGCTAGATTAGATAATAGAATTTTTTTCCTGTGGAAGTTAAATACAGATGACTCTAATTACCTTACATTGTGCATTAGAGAGCAGATTATGAACAGTACAACTTCAAGAAATTTAGGTCAATGAAGGGAGGGCAGCTGGAAAAAAACTTTACTCTGTATTTGGTCTTTGTAGAGTTTTGTAGTCATTCTGTTCTTTCTGGTGCTTTATTTGTGTCATTAACACCTGAAATGACACGCTGAGAACTGGTAATACAAATTGATTGAACTTTTAGAAATTTAACCTTTCTCAGAGAAAGGCATATGGACTGTTCTGATATGTATCTACATGGTTAAAGCATGCTCTCGTGTTATCTGCTTAAAGTTGTACCAGTGTTTCTGCATATTAATGAACTGAAATGACTCTTTGAGATTTTATTTCAGCTCCGCAGTCCAAAACACGTGGCAGTGTGCTTAGTGTTTCATATACTTAGTGTTTCAGCTCAGCATTTCATGTACTTTTGAGGCAAAGATGTCAGTATCTCAACTATCTGAGCAGGTCTTTTAGGGATTCAAGTTGTTCTCTGAGTGGTAGTGATCCAAAATACTTCAGGTAGGACTCAGTGAATGTCTTCTGAGTGTTAACAGAAATGGTCCAGAGTTTCTAAAGCCCCAGATTTGTTTATGCTGCGTGATAGTGCCTGATGGACAGGTTGTTATAGCTGTTAAAGAGCTGCTCTAGCCCTTTGAACTGACCCCTTCTTGACCTCTCCTTATAGAAGGTCACTGTTCACCTTATAAAGTGAGGGGAACCTTGGATTCTACTGTAGCAAATAGACGGTGAAGGGAACAGCTGTGAATTTTGGACTAACCATGCAAACCTGTATAGACTTTTTAGGGTCACTGTATGATAATGAAAATTGCTACCAAATTATATGGAAATTTAACAGCAATAGTGGGAAAGAGAGGGTGGAGTCTAATGCATTTGGTTTGATAAATGAAGTGTGAAGTTACCCATCTGGCTCTAGACAGCCCTCTTTTTCTCTACGAAAGGGAAACATTTAAAAATAACCATGGTACATCTAGAATCAATGACCCATACAGAGAGCTGGAATAGATCAAGATTTAATGGTGACTGTGGAAGAAATTATCATTTGAAAAGTGAGACAAAGGATGAAAAAGTACAGTTCAATATCTGCACCTGATTAATTTTTTGAAAAGGGCTTAATATTTTTCCCCGTTGATGATGCTATTGCCATTTTTTATTTTACTTTTTAACTGGAACCAGAAAAGTGGTTATATCATAAAGAAACAGTTTGGCCAAAAAAAAAAAAAGTACTTGAATTTCAAGAGAGGATGTTTCACTTTTTCCAACCAGTAAGTGCCTGAGAGAACTGGACTATAGTTATATAGAATTGTAGTTCTTATCTCTCCGAATAGAACTTGTATCATGTTATAATAACATTGTCTTTAATATTTGCATGATATGCTGCACTTAATTGCTTAATTGGTTTTTGTTGTATTTTTCATAGATGTATATTTTCTACCAAACTAATTTATCATCAATAAGTCAACAATAGATTAATTTAAAGTAGTGTTTAACTGCATTGAAGTTATTGACTGCTAGGAAAAAATATGGTTGGTTAAACCATTCCTAAAATATGTCTTTTTTAAATGGAAAAATTTTATTAGTACAAAATGATTTTAGTACGACACAGACTCTGATGTCCATTTTGCTGTTTTCCTCAGTGAAATTGTACCATTTGTCTTAGGGGAAGTTCAACCACATATTGGAAAATGTAAAGTTTAGGAGAAAGACACAATGGAATGGAAAGTTTGATAAAATTATTTATGATCATTGTATTTTCATAGTTTTGCTACTCAGCCAAATTCTGAAATCTTAACTTCTCGCTAAATCATCATGTAATGACAAATTGACATAGTGAAAACAGAATAAACGTTCAATAAATAATTTGTACCAAAGTAAATACAAAATTCTTCTGGTTCGTGAGATAAACAGCAGAAAAGTGTTAATTGATTATATCTTGTAAGAATCAATAACTTATAACCTTGCATCATTGAAATAACACAATAAAAATCTATTTTTATGAGGTCATCCTACAACCCATAATTTGTAGATTGGGTCACTATATTTCTAGAGTTGTTATATTCTTCCATCTTTGCACAGCACTGAAAGAAAGAACCTCTTACTCACAGCAAATCATATTAGTTTCAGGTTTCAAGTCAGACTTGAGCTATAATTCCTCAGCATTTTTTGCCTTTGTCAAACCCCTTCTTAGATCTCACAGTTTTGACATAACAGTGTAAAGGTATGGTTTTGGGGTTTTTTTTCTAGCTACAGTGAGCAGTTACACTGTGAAGGTACTCAGCTCTCAACAGTGAAATCTGGATTTTTGTGTGGATATTTATATAGGAATTTAAATTATAAGTGCCTACTGTGACAATTGAGTCCTATTCTGTGATAACACTATTCTTTTCTATGAGAACAATGAAGAATCTTAGAGTGGAATCCTAAAATAGTATGCATGTTAAATGAGAAACAAACAGGAGGATTTTATATATTTTATTTTCTGTTTTGAAGGAAAAGTTAATTTTTTTTCTTACGACTAACCTCTTTATACCTTGGAATTTTGGATCGCAATTAAGAAGGTAATTGAGGTAGATTTTACTCTTTTTAGCTCCAGTAAGAGAAAGTGATGTTGATGTAAAGAAGGACCGTGTCTTCTCTGTAACAGAGGAAAAGGTGATGGGTTAAGAAGTTAGCATGGGCTTTGGGAAAATTGGAGCTTTTTTTCTTCCCTTTTGTCTCAGACTTTGTGTATTTTGAGGAACTCGCTGAATGCTAGTTTTTAAATGAAATGTGATAATACC